ATTTAGTTCATTTAATACATTAGGTTCATATAATACATTAGGTTCATGTAATACATTAGTGGATTGCATACTTTTCAAAAAGTTTTTTTGCATACCTTTTTAGCTAAAATTGATCAATTACAATACCTCTCTTAAAGGGAGTGTTCGTGAAAAGGAAAGGGGGTAAAGTCTTACGGTGAAAAAGTATCGATGGTGATCACTGCTAATCTACTTCTATCTGTTGCGTCTGTAAGGAAAAAATTGTTAAAAGCGACTCATACCGAAGAAGGTAGCGTCAACACAAATTGAGAAAGTTGCTGAACATGCGACTTAGATCGTAAAAATCAATTTAGTTCCAAGCAAATCATTCATATATTACAACCTATAAATATCGACAAATTTTCGGCGCATTCGTATAAAGTTGATCACTTTGTTTTTACTTGTTTAAACGACGATTTTTTTGTCGCTATGTGTCGTTGGAGTCAATTCCGCGTGGAACTCCAGAAGCATCGAGATCAGAGACACCAAGCGGTCAAATAAACGTTGTTTAAAGTATATTGCACAGAGAGTCCCATATCATATTAGATTATCTCTAAGCTTCAACGCCAAAGTAAACATATAATATTCGAAAAACATTGCATTTCCTGCAAGAAAATATTTATATTAGCCTTATTCAATTTTTCAAAATGATTTATTCTTGTTACATTTTTCTGATCAGTCCCGGGAATTGTAATTTAGACCCTTTGACGATCTAATATGATATGGGACACCATGTATATGAAACGAGTAAAAAATATTATGATAATTTTTCGACGTAAGCCGATACCCCCTTTCATTTTTCGCGAACACTCCCTTTAATGTAGCATAGCTAACTCTATACAATGTTAATTATGTAGTTAACTGCGCACTTAAAAGTGAAAGCAGAATTAGTTATCAGCAAATGCATAAAAAAGAACATGTGTTATATAGGGATAAATCAAAATTTCAAAATTATTTTAAAAACTTTAACCATCTAAAATGTCGTAAATTTATTGTATAAAGCAATGTTTAAAATTTTATTACGTATAATCATTTGTTTCAAGACAATATTTTTAATCTATAATTAATTGAAAAACATTGTTCATAGAAGGAGCAGATTTTTTGCCGCAATTATTCCAATGTTTCATCAAGGGTTGAATACGATAAACAAAAAGCATCACCCTCCCTCAAAATATACCAAGATTGCTTCTCTTAAAGTGGGCTGGGGGTTTGATGTAATAAAAACTATTTTTTATTATTTATTGTTTTTTTATTATTTAGTTGTTTGATTAAGTTGTTTTTTTAAATTGTTCAATCTTAAAAAAAAAGGTGTTGAATATGTGAAAGATTACATTACATATAAATAAGATAAAAAATCTAATTCTTCCATTTTGAATTTCTCTGTATCTGATCTGAAAAGTTTCAATGATATATATATTAAACATGTCACTTTAAAATAGTTTAAGCCGATGACGTTCTTTTATTTTTTATAGTTTCAAGGTTGCGCTTTCATCTTGCAGATGCACTTTTAGCGTACTTTCCCTCATTTGCATATATCGACACAGTTACCTCTGATGCAACCCTGTGCATTTAGGCAAATTTAACCCAATCCAGGGCCTCACTGTAAATATATTGTTCTGTTACAAACACTTTAAATTCAAGCTGAAATACCTAGCTGGCCTTTTTATTTAGATTTGCAAATTAATACTTAAATTTCTCTCAACATTTGATAAAAAATTTCATAGATTTATATTTTAGAATCCTTAAATTCTTTTTTACAAAAAAAAATAAATGTACAAATATATACATGGACGTAGGGATGGATCGTTTTCACTTTCTTGAAAAACAATCGTTTTGTCTTGTTTACAACGTAGAAAAACATTAAGAACGACACGGTCGTTTTAAAATACGATCGTTTTGGAAAGATCGTTTTTGACGATCGGTTACGACCGTTAACGACTGCGCTTCGTTAACGACCGTTTACAAAGACCATTCGTTAACAATCATTAACGACCAGTAGTTAGGGAATTTCCAAAGTATAGAAAATCCGGAAATTAATCAGTTAGGTTAAATTAAGTAATTAATTTAACCTAACTACAGATATATCATATATTTATATATTGATATATACAAGGTAGATATGTAATATATATATAGATATATATAGCTGTATAAATAGATGAGTAGATAGATGCAAGGAAGAGAAAAGAAAGCAACTCTTTCCAGTAGAGTAAACACAGTTAAAGGATACGATGTGTTTCTGAGTTTTGGGTAGTTCTTTTACATGTGTGCAGTGTTTATGGTTCGTGTTTATGTTTATGTGTGTTGTCTTTAGAGTACAGTGTTTATGGTTTGTGTTTAGTGTTTAGTGTACAGTGTACAGTGTTAATAGTTTGGTTCAGTGTTTAGTGTTCAGTGTTAATGGTCTGTGCTTAGTGTACAGTGTACAGTGTTAATGGTTTGTGTTTAGTGTTTAATGTACAGTGTTTATGGTTTGTATGAAGTGTTTAGTGTACAGTGTTTATGGTTTGTGCTAAATGTTTAGAATATAGTGTTAATGGTTTGTGTTTAGTGTTTAGTGTGCAGTGTGCAGTGTTTATGGTTTGTGTTTAGTGTTTAGAGTACAGTGTTAATGGTTTGTGCACCATGTACTTTGTACAATTGAGAATGCCCATCTTTAAATGAAGGTTAATCTAAAATTATATATATAGAGGTAGTACGGTTATATAAATCATATTTTAACAGTGTAATCATATCTGACTTCACAAAACAAATAATTTCAAGTCAAAACAATTCACTATTAATTATTAAGGCGAGTACGTGAGATAACACAGTTTTAAATGAAAGATTGTGCAAAATAATGCAAAGCACTGTTGCAGCGTTTCTTTTCCTCAGACACTAGAATCTCAACAAATCAGAAGTTTTTTATTTTTAAGAAATAAAAAATGCAGCTCTAGCAATGGAACAGAAGGGCCTAATTTTATATAATATTAGGACAGCGCAGGACCTAGTTTTATCTAGTATTAGGACAGCTCAGGACCTAGTTTTGTCTAGTATTAGGACAGCTCAAGAACTAGTTTTAACTAATATTAGGACAACTCAGGACCTAGTTTTATCTAGTAGTAGGAAAGCTCAAGACCTAGTTTTATCTAGTATTAGGACAGCTCAAGAACTAGTTTTAACTAATATTAAGACAGCTCAGGACCTAGTTTAACTAGTAGTAGGACAGCTCAGGACCTAGTTTAACTAATATTAGAACAGCTCTGGACCTAGTTTTATCTAATGTTAGGACAGCTCAGGACCTAGTTTTATCTAGTATTAGGACAGATCAGGACCTAGGTTAAGCCAGTATTAGGACAGCTTAGGACCTAGTTTTATCTAGTATTAGGAAAGCTTAGGACCTAGTTTTATCTAGTATTAGGACAGCTTAGGACCTAGTTTTATCTAGTGTTAGGACAGCTTAGAACTTTGTTTTATTTAGTATTAGGACAGCTCAGGAACTAGTTTTGTCTAGTACTAAGACAGCTTGGGACCTAGATTTTTCTAGTATCAGGACAGCTTAGGAGCTAGTTTTACCTAGTATTAGGATAGCTCAGAAACTAGTTTTATCTAGTATTAGGACAGAACAGGAACTAGCTTTATCTATCATTAAGACAACTTAGGATCTAGTTTTATCAAGTATTAGGACAGCTTAGGAGCTAGTTCTACCTAGTATTAGGACAGCTTAGGGACTAATTTTATCTATTTTTAGGACAGCACAGGAACTAGTTTTATCTAGTATTAGGACAGCTTAGGAAATAGTTTTATTTAGTATTAAGACAGCTTAGGAAATAGTTTTATCTAGTATTAAGACAGCTTAGGACCTAGTTTTATCTAGTATTAGGACACATTAGGAACTAGCTTTATCTAGTATTAGGACAGCTCCGGAGCTATTTTTACCTAGTATTAGGACAGCTTAGGGACTAATTTTATCTAATATTAGGACAGCTCAGGAACTAGTTTTATTTAGTAATAGGACAGCTAAGGTACTATTTTTATCTAGTATTAAGACAGCTTAGGAAATAGTTTGATCTAGTATTAGGACAGCTTAGGAACTAACTTTATCTAGTAGTAGGACAATATATAACTAGGTTAATCTAATATTAGGAAGGCTCAGGAGCTAGTTTAATCTAGTATTAGGACAGCTTAGGACCTAGTTTTATTTAGTAATAGGACAGCTAAAGTACTATTTTTATCTAGTATTAGGACAGATTAGGTCCGATGTTCAGTAAGCAACAAGAGAGGTGATAAACTAGGACTCAGCAGATAAACAAAACAATTCTATTCGAGTAATAAATTTCATTCAAGTCAACTCCGTTTTCTTTCTTTATTTTTAATTAATTCAATTTAACCTGCCTGTAGCAAATACCTACTCCATAACAATTTACTAGAAACGTATCTATCCAGGTCTACTCGTTACCAAGATCAACCAGGACCAACTCTTCTATTCTAAATGCCTACAAGGAAATTCTCAACCAGGCTTTATTCCCCGATTCTAAAGGACACACAGTCCAAGTCTCAACCAGGATAAACTCCCTAGTTCTAAAGGACACACAGTCCAAGTCTCAACCAGGATTAACTCCCATGTTCTAAAGGACACACAGTTCTGGTTTCAACCAGAATTAACTCCCTAGTTCTAAAGGATGCACAATCCAATGAAATTGCTACACTGACAATTTCTCAACCAGGCTTATCTCCTTGGTTCTATGTTCAAAAATATTGTATCATAATATCAAATTGTTTATATCCAAAAAAGGAAAATAGTTCATAACTTTGCTCTAAATCTTTGTTCAATTATTGAATATTAAATGAGCATTGACAAATCTAAAGGTTCAACTGGTAAAATCCAGTTAAAATCAGAAAGCTTGATTCAGTGTTTCCGGATCTGCAACAAATATATTTAATAAAACAAAAACGGCATTTTCAAAAATAACATTTTTCGTTTGTGTGATATGGTTCAAAAATGAAAGTAAAAGTATAGTAGGAGATCTCCCCGATATTCTATAAGATTAATTTCAGGTGAAAATGGATGAAAATAATTTGAAGTTTGAAATTATCAATAAACCACAGGTCAATATTTTATATAATGTAGATTTAAATGTAGTGCACCATTTAAAATGTGTTGTAAACACGAACATGTTGATTTGAAATTGACTAACTAGGAAAACTGAGTTGCTAGACAAAGCTGGATTCCCAAGCTAATTATTCAAAAAAAATGTATTGAAAAATAAATTAGTAATTTACTTCCATAGATATATAATGTATAGATTGGTAATATATACTTCCATAGATATATAATGTATAGATTGTCAATATATACTTCCATAGATATATAATGTACAGATTGGTAATATATACTTCCATAGATATATAATGTATAGATTGGTAATATATACTTCCATAGATATATAATGTATAGATTGGCAATATATACTTCCATAGATATATAATGTACAGATTGGTAATATATACTTCCATAGATATATAATGTATAGATTGGTAATATATACTTCCATAGATATATAATGTATAGATTGGTAATATATACTTCCATAGATATATAATGTATAGATTGGTAATACTTTCATAGATATATAATGTACAGATTGGTAATATATACTTCCATAGATATATAATGTATAGATTGGTAATATATACTTCCATAGATATATAATGTATAGATTGGTAATATATACTTCCATAGATATATAACGTATAGATTGGTAATATATACTTCCATAGATATTTAATATAAAGAGTGGGTATATATACTTCCATAGATATATATTATATAGATTGGTCGATGTATCCAGGCTACCAGGGATATTGAACCTCTGGAGATAATTCTCACGGATACACCATCAGTTCTAGGTAAGGAATGGATCACTAAATTCGATCTAATATCAAGAAAAAATTATTCTATTTTTTTCAGGACCTCATCACGACTCACAACCTGTTTGTCTTCAGTGCCTCCGAGTAATTTCTTTAGTTTAATTATTATTTTTATTATTATTATTATTATTATTATTACAGTTATTGCTATTATTATTATTATTATTATCATTATTAAGATCCATGAAGGAGATTACTACTGTTCTACTTGTAAGCTACCATATTGTGATGAAGAATGCAGGAAAGCAAAAAAGTTTTTTAATGACTGGTGCTACAATTGTTTTGCTGAAAGGGAGTGACAGGCAAGACGTGGCAGTTGATCTGAGAGTGTAGTATTGTAAAGATACAATTAGAAAATCGGATTTTTAAAATTATAACGACAACGAAAATTGTAAGTTCACAAACAAAATGAGCATATACTATTGAAAATAACTTTCAATATTTCATTGTGAATTCTCGCTGTTAATGCAAATATTTCTGGCTTGTGGCATTGTAAAAAACGACATTTTAAGAAATCTTACAATGAACTTAAAGCTAAATGATGATTATAAATTGAATTTATCGATTCTACCATAGCTTTTATCGATAATTTATTTTTCCTTCACATTAAATTAGTTAAACTGTGTAATCTTTACTATATATTTCATCTTTTTCTAACAACCCGATTCTCTCAATGTAATCTCAAAATGGACAATTCGTAAGAATTTCAAAAGTTGAATTTCAGCTCTTATTCTGCATTTCTACACTGTAAAACACGAAATATAATTTATAGATCTCAAATGAATTATTTACAATACTGCACTCTTAGCTCAACTACTCATGACTAGCCGGTCACTCCTTTTAAATAAAAAAAGTTTTTTTTTGCAGAATTCTTACTTATTCTATCTTTTTTAGTTTGAATATTACAGTAAGAAATTAAATTGATTGTATTCAAATTGCTATGAACCTTCAATATTTAAAACTGTTTAATTTGGTTTAGTGATACCTCTCAACATAGGAGTGAATGCTTCACCCTGTCAAAGCTTTCAGAAATATGTCAGGTACAAATATGTCAGGTAGAAATATGTCAGGTAGAAATATGTCAGGTAGAAATATGTCACAGGTAGAAATATGTCAGGTAGAAATATGTCAGGTAGAAATATGTCAGGTAAAAATATGTCAGGTAGAAATATGTCAGGTAGAAATATGTCAGGTAGAAATATGTCAGGTAGAAATATGTCAGGTAGAAATATGTCAGGTAGAAATATGTCAGGTAGAAATATGTCAGGTAGAAATATGTCAGGTAGAAATATTTCAGGTAGAAATGCTAAAATATTTTGTATGGCAAAAAAATTTGATTGGAAAGTTGTTTCTGAGTGCAAAAAAAATATGGACACCATCTTGATTCTGGGCAGAAAATTTGCATGCATTTCTTACCCCTATCTATTCCAATGTGCGTCCTCGAAGGGGGTTGACGTTTATTTGATCAGCAAATATTTCTTTAAATTGTTTGGATAAGACTCTATCAGTACAAGATACAACCTAATCTAGAATTCAAGGTTCCTCAGGAATTTCTAGTCAATATTAATTAGTTATTTACAATTGTAGTTAGGTTTATCGCAATACAGGTTTTAGATAGTTATTTACAAGCGTAGTTAAGTTATGATACAATGTAATATATCTAGGCATGTTCAGGTTTATGAATATGGGTTTTACTACAATATTTATTACATATTTATTCTTCTGAATTTCTAACATATATTTAGGATTTTTGACAAAAAATAATTTTTTTTACCTATTGTCTTGTTTTCTTGTAGGATATGGAGAACAAGATGATGGTTATTATGGTGATGAGATTAATCAGATTAAAGATGGATAATTCAGAACTTTGGTCGGACATAGGTTAGTCATATATAATCAGATTAAAGATGGATAATTCAGAACTTTGGTCGGACATAGGTCAGTTATATATAATCAGATTAAAGATGGATAATTCAGAACTTTGGTCGGACATAGGTCAGTCTTATATAATCAGACTAAAGATGGATAATTCAGACTTTTGGTCGGACATAGGTCAGTCATATATAATCAAATTAAAGATGGATAATTCAGAACTTTGGTCGGATATAGGTCAGTTATATATAATCAGATTAAAGATGGATAATTCAGACCTTTGGTCGGATATAGGTCAGTTATATAATCAGACTAAAGATGGATAATTCAGAACTTTGGTCGGATATAGGTCAGTCATATATAATCAGATTAAAGATGGATAATTCATTAAGACAAAAACTTAGAAATTCTATTTTGGTAAATTCAGTCAGTCTTAAAGAAATTACTGAGATCCGGATCTATTTTTTCCAGTGCGGATCCAGGATCCAGATCGCCATGAAAATTAAATGGATCCTAAACACTGCCTGAAATCCTAAAAATATGCTATGATAACCAGTGCTTAGGATCCATTTAATTTTGATGCGGATCTGGATCCTGGATCTGCACTGGGAACAAATTAAGAGTGAAAGAGGCTTGCCTTAATTAAAGACAAATGCCTTTATTTCCAGCAGCCCAAGAAAAACTAAATTATAGTTAATTTTATGAAACGTTTGTGTACTTGTCTTATTTCAATGGTCATTTGTATAGATAAGCTTTAAAACAAAGCAGAAGTCAAAATATAAAGTTCATTTCAATTTTGGACAGTACAAAGGTGTGGGACAGTCCGAATTCAAAATGACCCTAGTCCACCGTGGTACCGGTAAATCCTTGTTATACTGGTTCGGATTATGCAACAGTTGGAGTCTGCCTCCAAGTTGGAGACTTGTCACTTATTGTGAAATAGCCTCCACTTCAGAATACATCAGGATTTTTTTAATGATGCATTCTTGTACTAACAAGTTTATAAAAAAAGAGATCAGTTCTAGGTTAAAAATATACTCTTCGGAGTAGTCGGTCGCGGCGGAATAATTATGCAAAAAGAGACCCAATATCCAAAAAGAGACCCAATATCCAAAAAGAGACCCAATATCCAAAAAGAGACCCAATATCCAAAAAGAGACCCAATATCTAAAAAGAGTCCCAATATCTATGAAAAATAAACCAGTTTGTGACAGTTCAGTTCTGGGTCCAGCAAATAGAGTGTTCTAAATAGTGGCTCATTAATAGAGCCTCTTAAATATGTGTGCATATTGGCGTATTACTATTTGAACAGAAAATATTGAACAACCTTTACACTAAAACAAACATCAATAAAAGGTTGTATATTTACAATAATCACTTTGTTGTGAAGCGATGTAATAAAATATGTTTGATAAATGATTCACATCTATAAAGTTATAAAATATTCCAAGTTACTCAAAATTGCGTAGATGGTGATAAATTATAAAATCATTCATATATCATTATAGCCTTTAACCAATAATTATTAGTTATAACTAATTAAATGAATTTAGAAATTCGAAAGATACCTTATTTTTGTTTTGAGACTATGGACTAATATAGTTAATCAAAAATGATTTATGGAGAAAATATTAGGCTCTCCACTACAAAAGTTGATGGAAACCAATCAACAGAGAAAACAAAATACATCTTTATTTCATAAATTTGTATTTAACAATATATATTTCTAGATATTCTGATGGACCATATGAATTAATTTCTAGATATTCTATGGACGATGTAAATATATTCCTAGATATTTTGATGGACCATGTGAATATATTTATAGATATTCTAATGGACCATATGAATACATTATAGATATTCTGATGGACCATGTGAATATATTTATAGATATTCTAATGGACCATATGAATACATTATAGATATTCTGATGGACCATGTGAATATATTCCTAGATATTATGATGGACCAAATGAATACATTCATAGATATTCTGATGGACCATGTGGGACCATGTGAATATATTCCTAGATAGTCTGATGGACCATGTGAATATATTCCTAGATAGTCTGATGGACTATGTGAATATATTCCTAGATATTCTGATGGACTATGTGAATATAATCCTAGATAGTCTGATGGACCATATAAATATATATTCCTAGATAGTCTGATGGACCATATGAATATATTCCTAGATAGTCTGATGGACCATGTGCATATATTCCTAGATAGTCTGATGGACCATATGAATATATTCCTAGATAGTCTGATGGACTATGTGAATATATTCCTGGATATTCTGATGGACTATGTGAATATATTCCTGGATATTCTGATGGACCATGTGAATATATTCCTAGATAATCTGATGGACCATGTGAATGAAAGACAAGAATGTACTGAGGAGTGGGAAATGTTCCAAACTAAGGTAAAATTAAAGGGAGAAATTGTAGATTCGGGAAGAAGGAGAGACACCCCCCCCCCTGAAAAAAATTCAAAGATGTGCGACACATTTTTTAGGAAGCATTTAGGTAAAACTAGCTTAAATACAAAATTTTAGCGATTTTCAATAATTTTCCTGAATGGCCCAGCCATTTTATTATTTTCCCGCCATTTTTGACCTTTTTAACTATTTTGATCCTCTCTTTTTTAATCTCGAGACAAACCTGATTTTGTGCTTGTATCCTGAAAAGTGTATTAAATTCAACCATAAGGAACCTGGAAATTTTACATTTTGCGCATCATTTAATGAGAGTTCTCTCATTTGATTAAGATTAATAAACAGAGAAGGGAGGGATTCTCGTGTTTTGAAAACCCGATTTTTGATTTGTCTACTTTATCAAAAAAGAGAGGATTAAGCAAGAAATCAAAAGCGTCCACATCGGATATTCAGATTAAGCGATCGGGATTAAAGATATCCAATTCTGAAGTTCCCAGCTCAGTACTCTTTATTTACTATTAAAAGATACTGTAAGCAGTAAGCGTATTTTATAGCATAGAAATGCGCTTTGGTAACTTTTGTAGAGAAATCACAATTGAAAATAAAAAGTTTTCCAAATTATAAATATTGATATCTAGTTCATCAAATCAGACAAAGCATGTAAGGGTTCCTGCTCTGAATTGGACATTGGCATCTTTGCATCGATGGTCACTTGAATAACGTTGACATTGATACAGTCTCTAGAAAAGTTAATTATTGAATAACGTTTACATTGATACAGTCTCTAGAAAAGTTTATCATTGAATAACGTTGACAGTGATACAGTCTCTAGAAAAGTTTATTATTAAATAACGTTGACAGTGATACAGTCTCTAGAAAAGTTTATCATTCCGTATAAGGGACAAATCGTCCAGAGGCCGAATTAAAAGAATTTGAGAGGCGGCTTAAATTTAAGCCGCGACTCAATTGAAACCGGTTTTTGGCGGATTTAAGACGCAGCTCAAATTTATTAAACTCACACACAGCAGTCAATATGACATACATTCCGTTAGATTTTTTCTGTAGAAACAAAAAGTACTTCAATTATATTTGTTTTAGGTTGTTGATGTTTTAAAACTGGTTTTAGAAATAAACGATGAAACATTGATTCACAGGGAATACATTTTTATTTTAAAGTTGTTTTTAAATTTCATCAGACTTTTTAACATAAATATTTTATATTAAATCATGTCTTTATTGGGGCCTATAAAATTGTATAAGAAGAAGACGACATTTGAGTATTTGATTTTGTTGTAAAGTAAGTCCTTGTATCAGTAGCTTGAAAATAAACTTACAAAGTAAAATAGATCTGGACATCCGCTCTGCTTCATGTTCATTGAATCATTCAAAATAAAAATTAAAAGTCGTCTTCCTATTTTATTAATTTAACGATTCAGACAGTATATAAGACATAGTTTGCAGCCTAATCCGTGTTAAGTTTGGTGAAAATACTTTTAACAAAATGTGTGTCTTCAAATCGGTTTAAATTTAAAATTTTCGGGTACCGAGGTTTGCAATCAAATTAAATTGGTGAAAAAAGTTTTTTGTTTTATTTTATATCTAACAATGATGTATTTATTGATACAGAATGATCGGGATAGTTTGTGTGAATAGTGTAGGATTTGATTACAAAAAAACTTCAGTGAAAGGTAAAATCTGAAAATAAAGTAAGTTTAAATTATTATAAAAATATTAGTTCATTTAATAGCATAGCCACTCGATCTTTCGCAATCTGATCTCTGTTAACTGTTAGCTACGGCCAGATTAACAGTAAAAAAGTTCATTGTTTTTACGAAAACAAAACTCCTTCTGAAATTAAATATATGAACAATCCCTTTAATACAGGACGGGCCTTGTATCCTCTACTATCCCTGGTATCTCATAGTTGTGTTTCTAATGCTAGATATACAGGTCAGTACACGGGTCAACAGAATAAAGTGGAATCATAAAATCTTAAAATGTATGGTTTTTTGTTTGGTTCATAGTTTACACAATATTAAAGATTTAAAAGTTTCTGAAAAAGTCTAAAGATAATTTAATTTGAAAACAAACCAAAACATTGTTTTCGTTGAAGAAGCAATGAAATTTTCATTTGCTGCCTATTATCTTATTTCAGAGTTAAATTTTGTAAAGTGTTAAAAATTCAGTTTTGCAACGACAAATTTTTTTGTTTATAAATTTAATCGTTTGAAAATCATATGTTCTCGAATGACTTAATTTTACTATCATCTATATATATAAAGTTGTATGTAATCTCTGCTAGTCTGTCTGTCTATTTGTTTGTCCGATCATAACTCAGGAACCCTTGGACCGATTTGCCTCACATTTGTATTAGGGAACTAGGGACATCCACGAGAATGTTCTTAGCTTGGTTTTAAGATTATAAGTGGAGTAAATCAACTTCAATAGGGAAAATTTAGTTTCTCGGAAAAATCGTTCAAGTGTGGTTAAACGGCGGGAGTAACTTCTACTAACCTTGACAACCTTGGGTTCCCAAACTAGTCTTACATAATATCATATTAATATTTTAGTGAACTATGATGATTTTACAGTTACACTTCGAGCTCGCAGGTTAAAATTTACTAATAAACAATATTTTATTAACTTTATTGGAAACAAAACTATTCAAAGAATTTCCCAATTTTTAAATCAAACTTCTAATTTTTTATTTTCATTCTTTTAGCAAAGCGTGTCTTTTTAATTTAGTATTCAATTTTTTAATTGATTTATTTAATGCTTTATTAAAATTGATAAGAGATTAAAAAAAACATTTATCTTCCCCCCCCCCCCCACTTAGTTAGGGCTTCATTAGACCAAGCAAATATAAAAATATTTGTACAAAAGTTATGTTCACCAAAATTAAAACCCACTTGAGAAATGTTAATTATGATTTAGGAAGATAAATGAAGGGGAAGAGATAACAATAAACTATGTTCCCCCAATATTTGGAGTTCCGAAACGAAAACGACATATTGAAGAGGAATGGTACTTTATCTGCAAGTAGGTTTTTATTTAAGGGACTCTATTCCAATTTCAAACTCGTTTAAACTTGTCCTTGAAGTTTATAAAACAAAGCTTTCCCTTTATTTCTAATATCTCAAGAGAAAATGCGTTTACAAGAAATATTTTATAAATACAAAAAAATATGTTTAAGAATATTATTCAAATAAACCTTTAAAAATAACATCTTTTATGACAGAGAGGTTTTATACTTTATTTTTCTAGATTATATAATCATGCTGCTTTGCAATAATATTTAATGTAAAATCCATTTTTTAAAGACGACATTATACTTTAAGATGGCTAATTCTAGATGTGCCCGATGTGCCGATAATACCGAGTTTGGAACCTACGTATCTGCTCTGAAATGTTCAAATTGTAGAGAAGGATTGATTCTTCCAGAAACTGTGGAAAAAAGTAAAATGATATATCCTAAACTAGCTTTCTGTGCTTACTACAGTAATAAGCAGTATATCTGTTCGAAGAAATACCGGGTTTTAGCGGAGAGTGGTTAAGGAAAGTTAAGGAAAGTGTTTAGGTAAGAGTTAAGTGTTAATTTTTGAGTTTAAGTAAGTGTTTAAGTAAGTGATAAAGTAAGAATTAAAGTAAGAGTTAAAGTAACAGTTAAAGTAACAGTTAAAGTAACAGTTAAAGTAACAGTTAAAGTAACAGTTAAAGTAACAGTTAAAGTGACAGTTAAAGTAAAAGTTAAAGTAGCAGTTAAAGTAACAGTTAAAGTGACAGTTAAAATGACAGTTAAAGTGACAGTTAAAGTAACAGTTAAAGTAAAAATTAAAGGTACAGTTAAAGTAACAGTTAAAGTAACAGTTAAAGTAACAGTGAAAGTAAAAGTTAAAGTAACAGTTAAAGTAACAGTTAAATTAAAAGTTAAAGTAACAGTTAAAGTAACAGTTAAAGTAACAGTTAAAGTAACAGTTTAAGTAACAGTTAAAGTGACAGTTAAAGTAACAGTTAAAGTAACAGTTAAAGTAACAGTTAAAGTGACAGTTAAAGTAACAGTTAAAGTAACAGTTAAAGTAACAGTTAATGTAACAACTAAAGTAACAGTTAAATCAACAGTTAATGTAACAGTTAAAGTAACAGTTAAAGTAACAGTTGACAAAAGTAATAATCCTATATAATTATAATTATGAAAAGCATTTTTGTTGAAATTATTCATAATAAAAACAATGTTAAAGGGTATAGAGGAAAAACTGTATATTATTTCCAAGAAAGGACCAACTATCAAGGTATAGCTAAAGTTTAAAAATTACTGAAATTCTAAATGTTTTACGATGAGCTTAAAGTAAACTTACGTATTTTTTATTTGTTTTAATTTGCCGTGGTTTAAATCTTTTCTTAACTTGTTTTTTTTATTTAGAAGCTGGAAACCTTTATGAAGGAAAATTCAGGAGACCTTCATACACAGCACTATCTTAATCTAATAGGTCACATTTTTCTGTACCATTATTATTATTATTATCATTATTTAAACTAAAAAAGCACAAGAAGGAAGTTCGCAAAAAAATAATTTTTGAGTTTGATATTTTAATCATGAAAAAAAAATACTTTGGGAGGTTTTTAAATTAAACAGATGTTATTTTTATTGCCGCAAACATGGAAAAAATCATCGGCATTCATCCATAACATCGTGTTCTATTGTTTTAATTGATATTTTTTTTTATAATATTTGTATTTCAGCTCAGAGAAATCTGATTCATCTGTTGTCTCAGGAAAGGATTAAAATTAAACTAATTTCTAGTTTTTTTTCGCAAAAGTAAACAATGAATTTTAAACATGGGAACTAAAAGACGACAAATCAGATAGTTCAGGGACAAATTGTGGAAGATAACACAAAAGTCGTCGTTTCATTACCATGGTTTTTTTTCGACACTTTTTCGAAAAATTAAAGGTGGTATAGGCTGAAACCTAAGCATTTTAGGAGTTGATCGAGACCTATAAAAGTTCTATCTGATGCTTCTTTCTCAAGAAATTGATATAAAACTGTGTCAAATTTATACAAAATTTATATATACTAGGCTTTTAGGGCGCTTCGTGTCCATCTTCTATTTCCACTTTTAAGTGTGGCTTTATCTCTGAGCATCTCCTCTTTGTACAATATAAAACAAAAACAACAAAAAAATTTGTTCGCGCATTTTCTAAATTTTACAAAAATAAAAACTTTTAAATACAAATTTTTAAAATTTTGATCATTCATAAACCTTCCCTGGGGTCACGTGAGGTCCCATACAAAAGTTGGGCCCGATCTGTTCAGCCGTTTTGACGTTTATTGGATACAAACAAACAGACAGGTTTAAACAGATCATATATTTAGCAAATACGCAACCAATCTAAAAACGAGGTTATCCCAGAGATTCCTTAAAAACTTAGGTTTGCTCCCATTATTGTTTGAATTTAATAATTTTTCATTTTTAATAAATATAATTGATAATATAATTATTACGATCGCATCACGTGACCAAAACTCTCACCAATGGCAGTACAGTATAATTGGGACGTGATACAGGCTGTATCAAATAATAATTCTTAGGTTCAGCCTATACCCCCTTTCATTTTTCCTTTACAGTCCCTTTAAGCTCAAAGTGAAAAAGACAAAAATTGAGAGACTTGGAATTTATTTTGAAATGATTTTTGTTTTTTATAAAAATAAATATTTTGAATCCTCTGACATCTACCAGGAACCTAAAACCAACAGGGAGGCGCAGAAGAAAATAATTAAATTTGGAAAATCGTTTATTAAAACGATGACTCGGCTAGATCCAGGTAGATAACTTTAATCAATCAATCAATCAATCAACTTGATTGATTGATTTTAAACTTATATTATTGAGTTTCTAGGAAACAAAAGAATTGAATGACAAATGTAAAAGTATCAAGATGTTGATTTAATTTAGGTTAAAATACAGTTAAACCATAAATAGGCCATGCATCGGAAGAATTCATCAAATGTCGTATTTTTCACTTTCTGATAATGGAATGTTGCAGATATTTATTTTTTTTTAGTTAAATGATTATATGGAGCTCTTTAAACTTTTCCTGCATATTCATGGCTACTTATTTATTTTCGCAAAAGTTGAGATTTACGTAAAATAGTCAAAATTGAAAATTGTCAAAACGACATTTGATAAATTCTTTCGATGTATGGCTTATTTAGAGTTTTACTGTATTAGGATTCACGTGATACCAATTATTTTCGTCGTATAATTGCTAAGTAAGATCGTTAACGTATTTTTTTAAATAACATGATGCAGAATAATCCAGAAGTGTCAATCATTTTTGGAGGACACCGTTATCTTATCGAACGGCAAGCTTTTGAAAATTAACGGAGGATTAACAATCGGCAAAAAAGGCTAAATTTTAAATCGTTAATAAGATTGAGATCGTTTACGAACGGGAACTTAGAGAAAGAACGAAATATACCATGAACGAAAAAAACCATTAAAGAGCAAAACGTTCATTTCATAGATAAAAAAACGAACGACTGCTATAAAATTTGTTTGTTTGAACGTTTTTAACTAACCGTTAACTAACGGTTTGAAAAAAGTCTAAACCTGCCCACCTGTCCATCACAACAAACATGTGTTTAACAATTATCTATCAACCCGGATGAAAAATGAAAGTCTAGTTTATGATCAAATTGAGAAAATAAAAATTGACTTGTAACGAATTTTTATTTTCTTGTCACCAAATCATGTTTATTAAAAGTAAGAACCCTTGTAATTTAAAGGTTACAGTGAATGGTTGGGTTCAATGTTGAGAAAGAAGAACGAAGCAGAGTTGGCTCTTCTCAAAATGGATTTACAGGTGATTGATCGTATATTAAAATTATTATTTTTGAAAAATCTAATTCCTATATCTGTACAACCTGGTGGTTTCACCAACGTTTGAACCTTTGATAATTCAAACTTAGATTTTTTGATCTAACAGAATTCATAGTTTGAAATATCTAAGGTCTGCAACATTGGGATAAAAAAATTTTGAGTTTGTGGCAAAAATTCAATGCCTTCATTAACATAAAAAACTAAATAATTTTATTGCATCTTTAACTAACTTTGAGCTCATTGTTCTAGTAAATATCTAATCTTTTTTTGCTGATCTATCCACAAGACTTTACTATATTTTGAAATAATAAAATTTAAATAGTCCGCAGATTTTTTATGTTTCTATTGATAAAAAAAAAACAATCAGACAAACCAAATAAAAAATTAATGTCGTCATAATTTTGTATGTGAAAAAATTAATTCTAAAAAAATCAGTCTGACGATTTTTTAGGAGAAAAAGTTGGATAAAAACCAGTTTGCAGAGAAGAGTGAGGTTATCTGGGCCTCCATGAAGGAGGTCGAGAACTGTCAAGTTCTCTGTACTCCGGCCTCTACATTTTAGATACACTAGTCGGCCTTTATATCAATACAATAAAGACGACTTTTCGATTTAAGTTTTGATTTCTGACAAGCTTTGTCAAATGACAAGTTTAAAAGTAAACAAATAGAAGCTGTAAAATCTACAGCTTCTTTTGTTTCCATGTTTAAGTGTATTCATGATGTTAGAAAACTTGAAGTCGAAAGCCGTCTTTACTGCATTTATATAAACAACGACGACATTAGCATAATGTATAGTTGTACACAGTGTCCCACATCATTTAGATCGTGCTTAATCTATAATTGGAAGTGGGAAATTTTAAAGTTTTAAGCATATTAAATAATGGTATGCATGAGATAAAAATAAAAATTTACGTTCAGAAAGTTCCTGGGGTGCTGTACATATTTTGGTTTTAAGCTAGAAAATACAATCCAATATGATTACAGGACGCCTTGTATTCATCTATAGCTAGCTGGATACAATCCAATATGATTACAGGACGCCTTGTATACAGATATAGCTAACTGGATATAATCCAATATGATTATAGGACGCCTTGTATTCATCTATATCTAGCTGGATACAATCCAATATGATTACATAACGCCTTGTATTCATCTACAGCTAGCAGGATACAATCAAATATGATTATAGAACGCCTTGTATTCATCTATAGCTAGCAGGATACAATCCAATATGATTACAGGACGCCTTGTATTCATCTATAGCTAGCTGGATACAATCCAATATGATTACAGGACGCCTTGTATTCATCTATAGCTAGCAGGATAAAATCCAATATGATTACAGGACGCCTTGTATTCATCTACAGCTAGCTGGATACAATCCAATATGATTACAGGACGCCTTGTATTCATCTATAGCTAGCTGGATACAATCCAATATGATTACAGGACGCCTTGTATTCATCTATAGCTAGCTGGATACAATCCAATATGATTACAGGACGCCTTGTATTCATCTATAACTAGCTGGATACAATCCCATATGATTACAGGACGCCTTGTATTCATCTATAGCTAGCAGGATAAAATCCAATATGATTACAGGACGCCTTGTATTCATCTATAGCTAGCCGGATACAATCCAATATGATTACAGGACGCCTTGTATTCATCTATAGCTAGCAGGATACAATCCAATATGATTACAGGAAGCCTTGTATTCATTTATAAGCTAGCAGGATAAAATCCAATATGATTACAGGACGCCTTGTATACAGATATAGCTAGCTGGATACAATCCAATATGATTACAGGACGCCTTGTATTCATCTATAAGCTAGCAGGATACAATCCAATATGATTACAGGACGCCTTGTATTCATCTATAGCTAGCTGGATACAATCCAATATGATTACAGGACGCATTGTATTCATCTGTTACCTAATCAGGAATTACCAACTAATGGCCGATTTTTTTTACTCTATGTCTTTCTTTCTTTTTTTCTATCATTCTTTCTTTCTTTTTCTTTCTTTCTTTCTTTTTCCCTTCTTCCTAACTTTCTAAACTTCTGCCATTCTTTCTTTATTAATTCATTCTTCTTAATTTTATTCTTTCTTTTTTCATCCTTTTCGTTTTATCCTTTTTTTCCTCTTTTTATTCATTTTATTTCATCTCAGATTCTTTCTTTCCAAATAATCTAATTCGTAATGTGATTTTTTTTCTTTATTTTTTCCTCACATCCTCTTTTTCATTTTCTCTCTCTTTTTATCTAAAATTTTTGTCTGTTTTTTTAACTTTTTATGCTCTGCAATGCAAACTCCAAGGACTGGAGGGAAATTGAACCGGAAGCTGAATTAAATTCTAAGTTTGCTCATATAAGTGTGATATTTATTTTATTAAATTGTATATTTTCGAAATATTTATAATCTCATCTTTAATCACTATCTTAAAATATATGTTCTATATATCTAATTTTATATTTCTACATTTTAAAAGTTGCAAAAAATTACCAAAAATTGCAATAAACCAAGCGCGAAAAAAATATGAAAAACTTTGTATTTTAACCAATAATGCACGATAAATACAGCTTATATGAAGATAATTATAAATATATTGAATATTCATGAATAAATTAGTATTATTGACTAGTATTTATCGGCTTGTTAAGCATTATGTTGTCTTGTATTCAGGCAATATATTTATTTATATAAATATATATTTGTTTGGCTCGCCACAATCCACACTGCGCACATAAGAAACTTTAAATATTATAATTTAAGCCGGTTTGAACCTCCATATTTGGAAACTATGCACTAAGCTTAATAAGATTGTTTTTTTAATGAGTTTTTTTTATCAAACTCGCATCCAACCAATGCTTTTTCTGTATTATGTATGAATAATACAGATTTGTTTTGAACCAAAAAACATGAAAATCTGCAGTTTAAGTCGGTTCAAAACATGAAAATCTGCAGTTTAAGTCGGTTCAAAACGTCAAACCCTCATTTTGAAAACTGTGCATACAATGCTTTTTCTGTATTAGGTATTTAAGATGCAAGTTTATCTTAAACCGAAAAAACTTAAAATACTACCGTTTAAGTTTGTTTGAACCTCTTTTTAGAAATCTTGCATACAATGCTTTTTCTGTATTTATAGATATGAAAGGTACAGATTTATTTTAAACCAAAAAAAGTATTTAAGTCGGTTTAATCAGCAAAAGCTTGTTTCATCTCCAATGTCCACGACAACATTTGCCTTTTTCCTCCAAAGCTTCAGTCAGAGGAAAAAGTAAACCTGCAGCTTCCTTCAGAAATCTCCTGGAGAAATTCAGAATTCCTGAAAATCCTGGAGAGATTTCTTGTCCACAGAGCAGAAATAATCTCAGTATGCTTGACATAGTGGAACTCAACCAGAACCAGACACTTTAATGCCCAGGTAGTCAAGCTCTGTAGATGCAAAAACACACGTATCCGGGTTAATGCACAGACCATGAAGTCGGAGTAAATCAAGAAGTTGGCGAACATTATGGAGGTGAGACTTGAGATCATTGAGTACATTGATCATGGGCTAGATCCATGGGACTCAACAGACACATCCTCGAAACAGTGGCTGGAGAGAGATTACACAGTGCTACCAGTTCCTCTAATCTACCATAGTTCATCTGCTCTAGTAGCCATTCTCCTAGGATCACTAATTGACTCATTCAAGAGATGAGCAGGGAGCTTATCCATGAACAATCCATGAAAGAAAAACCTGGTTTCTCATCATCAGGGAGCAGAACTAACATTTTATCCATTAACTCTGAGGGGCGCTGGTCGAAGATTACTGGGATACTCTGCACAGCCTGATAACACTCGAAATCACTGAGAGTAAACATCTAGATTAGGCTTGTATGTATAGAGCTGCTTAGGGATCAGCAGGAAGAAGAACGAACTAGGTCTAGCAGACAACAGGCCACATCCTGAGGAAGAGCTGCAATACAGTAGATGAACTTTGTACCGGATACAGTAACTTTTTATTTCGAACTAAGCCTCAGTCTGGAGTAACCATACTTCGGGAGAATCCGTCCAGAATGTCGGAAGCTTGATTGTTACGGTCGTCAGAGGAGCATGATCCCGGGCTCCTGGAGATAAGCAGTTTTCAATATTAATTTATAAACTGTATAAAGTGGAATAAGTATTTCAAGTAAAAGCTGCGTATGTTAAAGACGATATAAAAGTCGTCATCAATTTCCATGTTAAGACCGGAGGGTCCTTAAATAGCTTCTACGGAGGCTGAGTATGTGAGGGTTTTTTGCTGTAGTCTCTACGGAGGTTAAATATGAGGCTGGTTTATATTGAGTTAACGAGCAAACAGTTGAACAGGACAGTTGATAAAGACACCTTGTTGCAACCACCTTTATTATGGAAGGTTGCAGTTTACATGAACTGGTTCTGGTTTGTCTACTCCTACAGGAGATAGTCCTGGTGGAAGGAGGAGGGGGAGGAGGACTTCTTATAGGAAACAACAGGGTTAGTAAATTACAAACATAAATCAAGATCAGACTTTTTATATTTAAAGGGACTGTAAGCGTCAAGTAACCCTACTTGCAAAGATTTCAATGCCCGATTTACAACGGTACCATTGAACCCTTTGTCTAATCAAGTAAGAATTTGATATCAATGTTCCTGTTTTTTTTAAATTTTTATTTTCATTTGCGGTTTCTCTGTGAAAATGATTTGCGCAGTTCTTGTTTATAAGAATCAATAACAGAAATAAACACTTTACGATCAGAAAAACGACGATATCGTCAACATTTCTGATCAGATTTAGGTTTTAAGAATACCGTTGTAAATCGGACATTGCCATCTTTGCATCGAGGGTCACTTGAAATTACGTTGTCGCCTTGCTACAGTCCCTTTAAGGCTTTTTTAATTTTCTTATTTCAATCATTACATTATAGCATTTCTCATGTTTTGAATGATTATGACTAAGGAATTTCCTTTACGAATTATAAAAAATATTGGAGAAAATTTGAGCATTTTTTCCGGATACAGTTATGCTTAAAGTATCCTAAAAACGTATAACTCTTTCAATAGTGCAAAGTGCTTTTATTATGTTCCGCCAATTCTTGATAAATAAAATGTTAGAAATCTGATTTTTCCATGATTTTATATTTGGGACAAGCATTTCTAATACAAATTGGAAATTAATCATAGATTAAATTTAGTTAGTTGGATATTACATTGTTTGTACAAATATCAAAATTTTTAAAACATCATCCTTATAATCCAGGCTTAAATCTGTTCTTTTCTCTGAAAAATATATATGCGTAATCTTTGAACGTTTTTAAACGACCTTTTAGAGAGATTCAGCACATTTTCAATTTTTTTCTTCTTAACTTACACCATTATCAATTGGTATGCTAAAACAAAACCTGTCTCCAAAATTTGACAAATTTCAAGCTTTCAAAATGGTCAGTTTCTTCATTGTGATAATTTGATTTTTTTGAATAAATTTTTTGGGGATTTTCGTTGAACTTTCCTTTAAATATTGTATTTCCAATTTGCGTACATTTAAAAAGTCTCGCCTGAATTATACTACGCATGTAAATTCAAATAAGATGAAAAAAATGTTTTTAGAAAACCATAAAAACATATTTACTATATTATACAGTATTCCCTAAAGCATAATTCCACTGCAATCAAACTAAAAATACATTAAAGAATAAATTAAAATATAAATTATTTAAAGGCAGCAATTTACTTTAACAATCTGAAATTATACCTTTATATGAGGCATAAACAGTGAACAGTGCACTAAAATGTGTAGAATAATGGTGTGGTAGATAATTAAGAGAGGATCATAGTTGACCATTATAAGTTGTTTAAAATTATCAATGGTTTACCATTGTCAATGGTTTAACATTATCAATGGATTACCATTATCAATGGAATACCATTATCAATGGTTTACCATTAACAATGGTTTACCATTATCAGTGGTTTACCATTATCACTGGTTTAACATTATAAATGGTTTACCATTATAATTGGTTTACCCTTATCAATGGTTTACCATTATCAATGGTTTATCATTATCAATGGTTTACCATTATCAATGGTTTACCATTATCAATGGTTTACCATTATCAATGGTTTACCATTATCAATGGTTTACCATTATCAATGGTTTACCATTATCAATGGTTTACCATTATCAATGGTATACAATTATCAATGGTTTACCATTTTCAATGGTTTATCATTATCAATGGTTTAACATTATCAATGTTTTATCATTAACAATTGTTTATCATTATCAATGGTTTACCATTATCAATGGTGTACCATTATTATCAATGGTTTACCATTATCAATGGTTTATCATTATCAATGGTGTACCATTATCAATGGTTTACCATTATCAATGGTTTACCATTATCAATGGTTTACCATTATTATCACTGGTTTACCATTATCAATGGTTTACCATTATCAATGGTTTACCATTATCAATGGTTTTTACCATTATCAATGGTTTACCATTATCAATGGTTTACCATTATCAATGGTTTACCATTATCAATGGTTTACCATTATCAATGGTTTACCATTATCAATGGTTTACCATTATCAATGGTTTACCATTATCAATGGTTGTTTACCATTATCAATGGTTTACCATTATCAATGGTTTACCATTATCAATGGTTTACCATTATCAATGGT